CACCTGCTATGTGAAGAGGAAAAATGCATATCTGAGTACTGTTTAGAATTAAGGGAAAACATATGTCCTCTTTTCCTGATCAAGAAAAAGAAGTGAAGTTGTGGATCTTTTGGAATTTGCTGAGCACTCATGTATCTAACTATGAAGTCCTACCTGGGAGAAGAAATACCAGCACAATAGTACAAAAGGCTGAAATGCCACTTGTAGAGTGAGGATCATTTCATATTTTTACTGGGCCTTGTGAGGCAATAGCACCATAAACACATTAATTTAGTATACCTATACAATGCTGTGCCGCTTTGGCTGCTGAAGGATGGCCTCATATTTATGTGTAAACATCAATATCAGGTGGCTTGCAGGACCATTCCAGGGCTGATTGACACTTTTGATAATCCTAGCTGAATTCAGCTGTCAGGCAGTCTTCCATCCATAAATTATGAATCACTGTAAGCACCGTGTTTAATAGACAGGATTTGATTGATTGCTCACATCGTTGCTCATATTCTGAAAGTTGGCTTTTTACCCTGTAGCATGATGACTATACAGCACAGACCCCACATCATCAAACCCTTTTGAATATGGAATATTAGTCATGTTGTATTTAATGACATAAAATTACAGAGTCATGTGTGCAAACCCCCCAACACCCATCTACCAACCCCTTCCCTATCCAACTGTCTTGCCACTACTGCAGTCCCTGAAATGTTCAACACAAAACAGAATGACAAAGAAACGTCTTGTACCTGCATCAGTCAATCTACAGTCATAGGAAGGTATTCATTAATAATCATTATATATGAGACAGTCAATCGGTCGAGCATAGAACTCTTTAGTAAAGACAAGTAATAGATTGTACGGTATTGTGCTAAAATGACTTTGACCATATTGTTGCTGTTGATATGGTGCTATACAGTCCAGTTATTTAAGCTGAAAAGGCATGATTCTGTGTAATGACAGCATGTATTAGTTCATCAATCCAGGAAATACAACATTTTACTTTTTTTTCAGACCCTTCAGGGGAAATACTTGCCTGAAGTCTATTGAAATACATTGTATTATATGCTGTTAGACACATGTAGGCTTCTACAATGTATTTTTGCGATTGGCACCTCTCTGCTGCAAACTTTTGAATTTAAAATTTCTAAGATTAGATTAGCTAGATTTATTAATCAAATACATTTCACAAAATGAAACTAAATTTGTACAACCAGATGGTCTGAAATACAGCAGCACTGTGGCAGTGTTATCTGAAGTCTGGGAATAGATTTGAGAGGTCAGGGTTTTCCCTGTGTGTTGACAAGGTGTTTCGTTACATCATCATATTTTTAAATAACCAAGTGATAATTAGTTAATGTTCATAGTTGCTACCATGATTGTCATCTATCACAGATGAAGATTAGCTATCAGTATTTTAGTGCAGTTGCATCATTCCATTATGTTTCTATATAGCTATATATTTCATCTCAAGTATGAATACAACATGCAAATATGTTGGAAATTGTGACTTGTAACTTGTAATGTAACTCAATCCAAAAGGGCATCAATACTGAGCCTAGAACTTTACTTAACTCAGTGGCTTAGAGGTAATATTGGGAGAAATAAAGATCTGATTCCATGTCCACCTGTAATAAAGGCATTGAAATGTGGATTAGGACTGTAATCTAATGGGATCTCTCTCCTGCATTGATGTGACTTTTCCACATGACAGAGCTCCCTCTGGATAAGACATTACAGGTGAAATCCAGGAGACGAAATCTGCCTGACATGGAAAACATATTACTGGTCAGGTTTCATCCAGGAGATGGGATCTGGCAGATATAGAATTCCCATTACAGGTCAAGTGAAAGTGAAATCTTCTTGGGGGTGTTGAGGTATGTAGTTGTGTGTGTGTGTGTGTGTGTGTGTGTGTGTGTGTGTGTGTGTGTGTGTGTGCGCACGTGTGTGCGTCAGTGTCTTACAAATGTATTCAACCCCTTGAAATTGTGTTATTTTATTTAAAAACAATGAACCTCAAAATTAATTATTTTAAAGTGACATCATGGTGGTATTAGTGGTATTATGTTACAAAATATTTGTAAGAAAAATTAAAAACGGAAATTATTAACGTAAGTATTCAATCCCCACACATTAATATTACATCGATCCACCTTTTACTGTGATGACAGCTTTAAGTCTTTTGGAGTAAGTATCCATATATTGGTTGGATGACACTCGAGGACCGCAATTTTCGAATAGTGCTGCAGATTCTCAGTGGGATTGAGAACAGGACCTTGACTGGGCCACTATAGGACATTCACCTTATTGTTCTCGAGTCACTCCAGTGTTGCTTTGGCCTTGTGCTTCAGATCATTTTCCTGCTTAAAGGTGAACTTTCTCCCAAGTTTCATTTTTTTACCAGACTGAAGCAGGATCTCTTTCAGTATTTCCCTGTATTTTGTCCCATCCATTCTCAGAAATGCTCCAGTTTTAACAGGAGGCATTTGTTTCAGTTGTGAAACGTGAGGACCCCATCCTCAGCTTCAAATGAAAGCAATGCCTGATGTACAGATTTCCTTTCTCCTCTTGTCATTTTGCAAAATTTCTGAAATGGTACTATTTCTTGTCAGAGGGACTCCAACCTTGTTGTAGGGTTCCATGGTGTAATGGTCAGCACTCTGGACTTTGAATCCAGTGATCCGAGTTCAAGTCTCGGTGGAACCTTGGATGGGAGGTGTGTCGTCTTCTTAAAAGCCAACCACAAAACCAACACAAAGGACAAAATTCAAACACCCTTACAGCTTTCTTTCCTTTTAATGACTGGAAATATTAATATGCCAGCAAGTCGTAAGGCCGACAGATCCTGGGACTTAAAAATTTTCATCCGTTTGCATCATCCAAAATTTAGCAAACGTCATTTAATCCCAAACAGTGCAGATCAAGGAGTGGATGTGGTTTGTGAGAAGGCACCATGAGTCCATGGCATTCTTTCAACAGTCCATGAAGGCATTCTTTCTGCAACAGTAAACCATCTACTCTGAGCTAATGTCAAATTTTAATCTGGAGTGAAATCTGTCTTAATCCCAAACAGTGCAAATGAATGCACTACACAGATCATCAATGGGATATTGCACACAGAGAGAAATGAGACATTGTGGATGATGACAAATAACATGTTTCGGGAATGACATAGCACAGGAATAAGATGAATTTACTTCTGCTCTAGAGAACAGCTGTGGGATGTGACTCAGAATGGATAAGGTGTCTGACTTCGGATCAGAAGATTGAGGGTTCGAGTCCCTTCGTGGTCGTTGAGATACTTGAGTTTTAACAGGCGGTGATCATTTCACTTATGAGATGTTAGGATCCCATTCTCCAATTCAACTGAAAGCAACTCCAATTCACACGACACTGGGTGTGTCATTCCTGTTCTTGAATGGAAATACTAACGTGTCAGCAAATCTTAATGAGGACATATCAGGATACTTAAAAAGCTTTGCTTTTTTGTGCCATCCCAATTTAGCATACATCATTTTATCCCAAACAGTGCAGATCAAGGAGTGGGTGTGGTTTGTGAGGAGGTACCATGAGTCCATGGGTCCATGAAGGCATTCTTTCAACAGTAAACCATCTACTCTGAGCTAATGTCAATTTTATCTGGGTGAAATGAAAGCACTACACAGATCATCAATGGGATATCGCACACAGAGAGAAATGAGACATTGTGGGTGATGACAAAAAACATTTCGGGAATGACATGGCACAGGAATAAGAGTGAATTTACTTCTGCTCTAGAGAACAGCTGTGGGATGTGACTGCGTGGCCTAATGGATAAGGCGTCTGACTTCGGATCAGAAGATTGAGGGTTCGAGTCCCTTCGTGGTTGTCGAGATACTTGAGTTTTAACAGGCTTTAAAGGCTGACTTGTCAGAAGATTGAGGGTTCGAGTCCCTTCGTGGTTGTCGAGATACTTGAGTTTTAACAGGCGGCGTTCATTTCAGTTGTGAGATGTTAGGATCCCATTCTCCAATTCAACTGAAAGCAACTCCAATTCACACGACACTGGGTGTGTCATTCCTGTTCTTGAATGGAAATACTAACGTGTCAGCAAATCTTAATGAGGACATATCAGGATACTTAAAAAGCTTTGCTTTTTTGTGCCATCCCAATTTAGCATACATCAGTTTATCCCAAACAGTGCAGATCAAGGAGTTGGTGGGGATTGTGAGATGGTACCATGAGTCCATGGGTCCATGAAGGCATTCTTTCAACAGTAAACCATCTACTCTGAGCTAATGTCAATTTTATCTGGGTGAAATGAAAGCACTACACAGATCATCAATGGGATATTGCACACAGAGAGAAATGAGACATTGTGGATGATGACAAATAACATGTTTCGGGAATGACATAGCACAGGAATAAGAGTGAATTTACTTCTGCTCTAGAGAACAGCTGTGGGATGTGACTGCGTGGCCTAATGGATAAGGCGTCTGACTTCGGATCAGAAGATTGAGGGTTCGAGTCCCTTCGTGGTCGTTGAGATACTTGAGTTTTAACAAGTAGTGCTCATTTCAGTTATGAGATGTTAGGATCCCATTCTCCAATTCAACTGAAAGCAACTCTAGTTCACATGAGATTGGGTGTGTCATTCCTGTCCTTGAATGGAAATACTAACGTGTCAGCAAATCTTAATGAGGACATATCAGGATACTAGAAAATTTTTTTTGTGTCATCCCAATTTAGCATACATCATTTTATCCCAAACAGTGCAGATCAAGGAGTTGGTGGGGATTGTGAGATGGTACCATGAGTCTATGGGTCCATGAAGGCATTCGTTCAACAGTACTGCATCCACTCTGAGATGTCACGTTAATCTAGGCAAAAATAATCAGTACACAGATCAACAACAACCTACCACTCACGGAGAGAATTGAGACGTGCAGGGTGATGACAACAAAGATGATTTGGGAATAGTATGACACAGGAATAAGACTGAATTAAGTTCAGCTATAGAATTGAGCTCATGTGTGGCCTAATGGGTAAGGCGTCTGGCTTCAAATTTGAAGATTGAGGGTTCAAGTCCCTTTGTGGTTGTTGAAATGCACACATTTTAATACACAGAATTCATTCCAGTTGTGAGAGGTCAGTACCCCACCTCAGCTTCAAATGAAAGCAATGCCTGATGTACAGATTTCCTTTCTCCTCTTGTCATTTTGCAAAATTTCTGAAATGGTACTATTTCTTGTCAGAGGGACTCCAGCCTTGTTGTAGGGTTCCATGGTGTAATGGTCAGCACTCTGGACTTTGAATCCAGTGATCCGAGTTCAAGTCTCGGTGGAACCTTGGATGGGAGGTGTGTTGTCTTCTTAAAAGCCAACCACAAAACCAACACAAAGGTCAAAATTTAAACACCCTTACAGCTTTCTTTCCTTTTAATGACTGGAAATATTAATATGCCAGCAAGTCGTAAGGCCGACAGATCCTGGGACTTAAAAATTTTCATCCGTTTGCATCATCCAAAATTTAGCAAGCGTCATTTAATCCCAAACAGTGCAGATCAAGGAGTGGATGTGGTTTGTGAGAAGGCACCATGAGTCCATGGGTCCATGAAGGCATTCTTTCAACAGTAAACCATCTACTCTGAGCTAATGTCAATTTTATCTGGGTGAAATGAAAGCACTACACAGATCATCAATGGGATATCGCACACAGAGAGAAATGAGACATTGTGGGTGATGACAAAAAACATTTCGGGAATGACATAGCACAGGAATAAGAGTGAATTTACTTCTGCTCTAGAGAACAGCTGTGGGATGTGACCGCGTGGCCTAATGGATAAGGCGTCTGACTTCGGATCAGAAGATTGAGGGTTCGAGTCCCTTCGTGGTCGTTGAGATACTTGAGTTTTAACAGGCGGTGATCATTTCACTTATGAGATGTTAGGATCCCATTCTCCAATTCAACTGAAAGCAACTCCAATTCACACGACACTGGGTGTGTCATTCCTGTTCTTGAATGGAAATACTAACGTGTCAGCAAATCTTAATGAGGACATATCAGGATACTTAAAAAGCTTTGCTTTTTTGTGCCATCCCAATTTAGCATACATCATTTTATCCCAAACAGTGCAGATCAAGGAGTGGGTGTGGTTTGTGAGGAGGTACCATGAGTCCATGGGTCCATGAAGGCATTCTTTCAACAGTAAACCATCTACTCTGAGCTAATGTCAATTTTATCTGGGTGAAATGAAAGCACTACACAGATCATCAATGGGATATCGCACACAGAGAGAAATGAGACATTGTGGATGATGACAAATAACATGTTTCGGGAATGACATAGCACAGGAATAAGAGTGAATTTACTTCTGCTCTAGAGAACAGCTGTGGGATGTGACTGCGTGGCCTAATGGATAAGGCGTCTGACTTCGGATCAGAAGATTGAGGGTTCGAGTCCCTTCGTGGTCGTTGAGATACTTGAGTTTTAACAGGCGGCGTTCATTTCAGTTGTGAGATGTTAGGATCCCATTCTCCAATTCAACTGAAAGCAACTCCAATTCACATGACACTGGGTGTGTCATTCCTGTTCTTGAATGGAAATACTAACGTGTCAGCAAATCTTAATGGGGACATATCAGGATACTTGAAAAGCTTTGCTTTTTTGTGCCATCCCAATTTAGCATACATCATTTTATCCCAAACAGTGCAGATCAAGGAGTTGGTGTGGTTTGTGAGAAGGCACCATGAGTCCATGGGTCCATGAAGGCATTCTTTCAACAGTAAACCATCTACTCTGAGCTTATGTCAATTTTATCTGGGTGAAATGAAAGCACTACACAGATCATCAATGGGATATCGCACACAGAGAGAAATGAGACATTGTGGGTGATGACAAAAAACATTTCGGGAATGACATGGCACAGGAATAAGAGTGAATTTACTTCGACTCTAGAAAACAGCTGTGGGATGTGACTGCGTGGCCTAATGGATAAGGCGTCTGACTTCGGATCAGAAGATTGAGGGTTCGATTCCCTTCGCGGTCGTTGAAATGCTGAAGCTTTCATAGACAGTTTTAATAGTTCATTTCAGTTGTGAGAGGTCAGGACTCCACCTGAGCATCAAACGAAAGCAACGCCTGATGTACAAAATCGACAGAAAGTTCCTTTCTCCACTTGTTATTTTGCAAAATTTCTGAAATGGTACTGTTTCTTCTCAGAGGTACTCCCACCTTCATGTAGGTTCCATGGTGTAATGGTCAGCACTCTGGACTTTGAATCCAGTGATCCGAGTTCAAGTCTCGGTGGAACCTTGGATGGGAGGCGATTCTTCTTAAAACCCAGCCACAAAAACAACACAACAGATGCACGTTCCACAATGTTGTGGCTTTTGTTCCCTTTAATGACTGGAAATATTAATATGGCAGCAAGTCGTAAGGCCGACAGATCCTGACACTTATATACAGCACAGATCCGACATCATAAAACCCTTCTGAATATGGAATATTAGTCATGTTGTGTTTAATAATATAAAATTACAGAGTCATGTGTGCCCCCCCCCCCACCCCCACACACACACATGCTTGGACACACCAACTATAAGGGTTTTTCTTTATTTTTGCTATTTTCTACATTTTAGAATAATGGTAAATACGTCAAAACTTTGAAATAACACAAAACTATCTTATATTTTAGATTCTTCAAAGTAGCCACCTTTTGCCTTCATAACAGCTTTGCACATTCTTGGCATTCTCTCAACCAACTTCATCAGGTAGCCACCTGGGATGCTTTTCCAGCAGTCTTGAAGGAGTTCCCACAGATGCCGAGCACTTGTTGGCTGCTTCTCCTTCAACCTCCGGTCCAACTCATCCCAAACTGTCTCTATTGGGTTTAGGTCAGGTGACTGTGGAGGCCAGGTCCTCTGATGCAGAACTCCATCCTTCCCCTTCTTTGTCAAATAAATCTTACACAGCCTGGAGGTGTGTTTTGGGTCATTGTCCTGTTGAAAAAGCAAATGACGGCCCAACTAAGTGCAAACCAGATGGGATGGTGTATCTCTGAAGAATGCTGTGGTAGCCATGCTGGCTAAGTGTGCCTTCAATTATAAATAAATCACCAACAGTGACAAAGCACCCCCACACCATCACGCCTCCTCTTCCATGCTTCACAGAGGGTACCATACATAATGACATCATCCATGCACCTTCTCTGCATCTCACGGAGACACTACATTTTATAGAGTTCATTTTTATATTAAACTTCACAGGTGATATGTGCTTTGGCACAGCAGCAATTCTAGCTGTTATCTTCAGAATGTGCAGCAATATGATAATTATATATATATATATATATATATATATATATATATATATATATATATATATATATATATATATAATTATTTTCATATTATATTTAAAATGATCAATCATCTGGAAAATCTACTGTCAGTAACGTAGGTGTCTTTTTAAATTCACCAGACAATAATTTTTTTCTGATATCTCATTTCTCTCTCCATCTTCTTAAGACCAGACATGGTCATATGTTTGACTTCAACAGTAATATCATTCTGATGTCTTTTTATGCATCAATTCAGTGACATTCAAATTGGCAATGGCGGCATTCTGCTTGATGTTATTGTCTTTGGCAGCAAATGCCTAAGCAACCCGAAAAACTCCTGAAACAAAGTATCCTTTTATGCATCGCTAAACAGTGATATCTGTATTTGCTTCACGTTCACCTTTTATGCATATAGCATTGTTGTCTGCGGTAGATGGTCGCCTTCGCTGCTCAGCAACCCTATGGAGATAAGTGGCCCATTGCATTTAAACTCTGTCTCCTTTCGGTAAACACGCTGAGCAGAGCGTCGTGGCACTCACGCACACATCAAGACGGTGTGGAGGGGCAGGGCCTCCCACACGAGGCCATCCAAGACAATCTATTAAACGACGGCGCACAGATTATAGCTGTTGTGTAGGCTGAAACAGAGAAATGAGAAAGTAACTGAAGTTTGCAGATATTACCTTAAACAGATGGAAAATGCATCTATTCAGATAAACGTTGCTATACCATTTGATGAGGCCGTTTAGACTGAAGGGAGGTGGTGCGGGAGTAATGGTTCAGGAAAAAAAAAAACACTCTTTCTTCTGATCCCTGTTGGTTTTGATGATGCTATTCCAATCCAGCTGTCTCGTCTGTAGAAATACGTAAATATTTCGCAAAGGGTAACCTATCCACTCTAGCCACACTTTTTAGTTTGCTACACTAACACTGGGCTTCATGCCAAATGCCATGCAATAGGCATTGCAGCCACCTAAAGTGTTAGTACTGAACTTGACTCTGCCTCTTGTCACCATTGTTGTGCCTACCTGGGTCATGCTATTGATGGTGGGAGGGGACCTGTGTTTTTTGTTTATAAATTCAATGTATTTAATTTTGTGCTTTGCCCGTTTTTATGTACAAAGCACATATTAACGGTTAGAGGAATCAATAATTGGCTCATTATTTTCAGAGTGCTTGTGGAAAATAAAGGGGTAGGGGGAAAAATATAATTCCCCCCTCAGGCAGCTGGGCTTTCAGCTGTGCTATGCCGGCTGCTCAGTGTTTACTGTCCCACAAGAACAATGCCGCCACTAAATGTTTACTGTCTCTTTCAGATCAATACCCGATGCTACCTTAAGTGTCTCTCTTAGAGAAATGGCATTGCTAACTGTTTCCTGTCTCTATAAGAACAATGCCATTTTAATTGTTTACTGCTCTCTGTCAGATCAATGCCAACTGCTAACCTAACTGTGACTGGAGGAATAAAATGCCACAACTAACTGCCTCCTGCCTCTACGAGAACAATGGGAATCTATTTACTGGCTCTATCAGATCAATGCATGCTGTGAACTTCAGAGTCTTGCTAAGATTAAGAAAAGAGCAGGCACTGTGCAGAGGCTGTGACCAACACGGTTCACAGCAAATTGTTCTGATTATATACAAGTTCGGTGTACACGGCTAGAGGAAAATGTTCATCATCAAGTGTGAAATGTTGATGATAAATGATCAAAACCATGCAACCTAGGGGGGATAGGAGCAATCGCTGTTAAATATTTCT